AATAATAATAATAATACTAATAAATAGAGGTCGAGGGAAAGCGTGGAAAAATATTTAATTTTTCCACCTCCAAGTATGTCACGCTACAGAAGCACTACTGTCCCTCTCTATCAACCTGAGTAGACCCCCCTACGCCTAAGATGCTTCACGAGCACAGTAGGCGCCCACCGCGACGGCACCTCAAGCGCTTTACCCTCAATCACCAAGTTGGTCAAGAGATGCTGCTGTTGTTGCTCCTCTTGCTGCTTTTTTTGTTCGTGCTGCCTCATCTGGTGAGGAGCCCGTGCACTTCTCGTCCGAATGCCTCCTCCACCACAAGCAGAGGTGCCATTGTAGCCGAGGGAAGAGGTGTGGGATGGGGTAGTGCACAGCTGCGAGGACCCGTCACAGCTGCCCGCACTTGAGCGTCGTTGCTGAAACCGCCCTGCTAGATTGGAAGCCACCGGTGTGCCGGCACCCCGCCTCTCCTCCCCGCTCTGTGCCACCTTCCACGGGTGCAGAGGCGGATATCTGTGAGGCAGCTGAGAGGGATCACGGTAGCACCGCAAGAATTCGGCCTTCTCGCCCGTGCCGCCTCTGTTATACGATGATGGCACTGGTGGCCTGGAGCTGGCGGGCCGCACGATAAGGGGCCTGCTGAAGTGTAGCCGCTCCAGATAGCGGCTGGCGTACGACACCCTGGGGTTCGGCGGCACAGAGTCAGTGGCGGATGCTGATCTCATTTCACGCGGTGGCCGATCGGCACCACCCAATGTTGGGGACGCCGCGTCGTGGAACACCTCTGAGGATGGTCTTGGAATCGAGGAGGACCAATGCGGCCGCCTTTCAGTGGACGGAGCGGTCGCCGTGGAGGCCAGCACGTTGTGGAGAGATGCCATGGTGCGCTCTACAAGCGGGGGCTCCATGTCGTCGCTCGAGGCGCCGTCCACCACAGCGCCACGCGATGTCAACGGCGCACTCGACGCCCGCTCGCCGTTGGAGACGTGTCCGAAGCGGTCGTGTGGCAGCGGGACCGCCTCCCTGTGAGGGCCCTCAAGGCCTTGTTTTATGTGCGTCGTCAACGATGTGAAGGCGGCGGCGAAGGCGGCGCCGACAGTGTAGGAAGGAGTGGTCCCGTTTGTTACGCCGCAGACATTCTTCATGTTGCTGTTTTCGCGTGCTCCGTTCCCGTCGATGATATCATTGGTGCCCTTGTTGTTGTTTTCGCCTACTGTCACTGCTTCGGTTGATGGGACCACACATGGTGGGGCCGCACCGCCGTGCAGAAGCGTGGTGAGCAGCCGCAGCAATGGAAGTTCGTCGTCGCCGCGGCTGCAGCGCGTCGTCATGAAGTCCAGCATGCTCGTGGGCGCAGCCAGTGGATGCACCGCCACCGCGGGAACTGTGGTCGCAGTGGCAAGTGGAAGGGGGGAAAGAGGCGCAAGAGCCGGAACGATATGTGAGGGTGGGCCGCGCCCTAACGGCGCCGCCGCCCCCCTCTCGCACTGAGCAGTGCTCTTCTGCGTCACCCTTTCCTCGCTCGTGGGTGTCGCCATGTCGCACGGCTTCTCCTCGGCGTGCAAAATTTGCGACAGCAGCTGCAGCGAAGTAAAATCACCGGAGCTGCCCGTCGCACCACTCTGCCCACAAGCGATGAGGAAGCCCAACATGTGCACGTCTATGAATAGCGCTACCTCTATGAGTGCTCGTGCAAGCAATGGTTCAGCAGGCAGTCACAAGGAAAGGAAAGCACTACAAGACAAGAAGCAAGACATGTATAGATGTAGACATATAGATATATATACGTATACGTAGCAAACAGGACAAGCGAACCGAGTGGAGTGCATATTGTGGCCGCTCTCTCTCGTCACCACGGCGCTGATGAGTGGTGAACGTTTGTGCCCGCTTCACACCCTCCTGCAGAATTCGAGTCATACCGCCCCCGCCCCCTCAACTGGGGTCCTCTCGCACACAACAACAACAGTGGCAGCTACAATGCACGGAAGGAATCAAATATCAGAACCAAAAGGGAAAAGGTACTGAGGAGAAACCATAACAGCAGGAAAATACCAGCCACGGGATGAGAAAGAGGTAAAGGGCGCCGCTCCGCTCTCTCCTTCCTCCATGCCCCGCCCAGCAAGATCCCGCCCTTCCTCCTCACCCAGGCATCGCTTTACCGCAGAAAAAAAAAAAGCACACCAACAATAAAGAAAACGAAAGAAAGAGGACAAGAAACCTAAAAAAAAGTAATGGACACATATCACACAGACTCCTTTATCTCTCGCTCATATTCTCTCCATTTCTCTCGCACACATCTTCTCTCTTCAGACACACACCAGATCCGTCTTCTCGGGGCCCCCGCACCCCGCCTGCATTGCTGCCGTCCCCAACTGCGGGCATCGCCGCCGCCCGTTGTTTTCCACGCACCGCTGCTGGTGCCCACGCGCACCCGCCCGCCAAAGCGCCAGACGCACAAAAGAAAAAAAAACAATGGCATCCCCTCGTTCTCTCCCTCTCTTCTCTCTCTCTCTCTCTCTCTCTCTCTCTCTCTCTCTCTCNCTTCTCTCTCCCTCTCTCTCACACACAGACATGAGTACCACAACCTGCTGCAACCAGAATCAGTGAAAATTCAGCACGACAGAGAATCTACATTTAATCAAATAAGTTTTCGTTTTCTCCGCTCATCGTCACTTTTTTTTTTTGCTCGTTTCATTCTTAAAGGAGAGACGGTGGCGTTGAGGGGGACGCGACGCCCCTGTGTCCTAAATGGCACCTAATGGCGTCGTGTATAGCAGTACTCTGTACACAGTAGAGTAAGAATGCCATTTCATTTCGTTGATTTCCTTTACTTCTCTTTCTTTCTCTCTCTCCCTCTTTCTCTCTCCCTCTCTCCTTGTTTCCTTTTTCATTTCATTCCTTGTAATCACGCGCACATACACACGCAACCTCTTTCCCCTTTGCATGTGTTTCCTCTCTCTCTCTCTCTCTCTCTCTCTCTCTCTCTCTCTCTCTCTCTCTCTCCCTCTATCTTCCCCCCTCCGTTCCCCCCAGGGCTTCACGCCACCCTATTCTGTGGTGAGCAGTGACATGAGGTGCTGAATGTGAATGGTGTTGACGCTCCGATTCGGCGTGGTCGATGAGCTGCTTATGCCACCGGCAGTGCCGCCCAGCAGGCTAAGGAGCTCAGACGCATTCCTGCTTTCCACTGGGCAGATAGAAGCACCGACAGACAACCGGTTGCTGTTCGCGGTCAGGCCGCTCTGCTGCTGCTGCTGCTGCTCCTGCTGCTGTGCCGGCTGCGGCTTGCCGGTCGCCCCGTCCTCCCCGACTAGCGACCGCAGCAGCTGGCTCGTCAGCGTCTCGGGGGAATTTGGCGCGGCGCCCACCTTGCTGCTACTCACCGCAGTCTCACCGCTACCAGCCGTGAAGGGTACCCACAACTCCCCACGTGAAGGCACCAAGCTTGTTGTGTTTAGTTCAGGCCCTGAAAAGAGCGCCGATCCTTCTGCTGTCACGCTAGCAGTTCCAAGCCCAACCGTTGTCGTCGGCACATCCGGGGGTGGGAGGTCCCAGATAGCCGTACCGGCGTCGCCCCAAATGCTTGCAGTCGCGTTGGAGTGGCTCAGCGTTGAGCTCACCCAAGCATCATCACCAAGGGCTCCTGCGAGACTCTCCGATTGTGTAAATTGGGGCACACCACCCCGGCTCGAGGAGACGGGCCCGGTATTGATGGTGCTGCTGTGAATCTCCTTTCGTCCTCCTATGTTCTTACCCAGGTGCTTGTGCGACACAGCATCCATCACTGTATCGGCTACCACAACGTTGGCCGCGGTTCTATTATCATCATCGGGGACCACATGTCCAACCCATCCTCCTCTACATTGAGTTGCGCTGTGCTGCTGTCTCGTTAAATCATGATGTGGTTGTTGCTGGTGGTGACTGATGTTGCTGCTGTTCCCCTGCTGGCTGCTATTTACCGCTACATTTCGGCTCCACGATGTGCCACCGCTTTGCGGATTCATAGTGACAGCGGAGCCACTAAGGGAGGCAGCCTGTCGGCTGGCCTGCTGACTCCTCGGCGCCGGAATAAGGGTACTGTGAGTAGATGTGACGGGGCCCTTATGATCCGTACCACGAGCGGGGTCTGCCGAGGGATTATTTAACTGTTGCGTTTGCTGCTGATAGTGGTGGTGGTGCTGCTGCTGATAGCTACTATGCTGCTGTTGTTGTTGCTGGTGGTGGTGGGGGTGGGGGTGCTGCTGCTGCAAGCGCTGCGGCGAGGTAGACTGGCTTCCGTCCTCTCGCGACAGCTGCACAGGGCTCCCCACTGGGGTGGAGGCGGTATTGACGCCACCTAACAACGGCAGCGTTGGGCTGTTAAAGTACGCTGCCACGTGAGCATTGGTGCATGCTGCGTGACTATGGCAGGCGCCTTGCCTCCAGTTGGTGCACAGCTTCATTGGGCCCTCCATTCTCCCTTCGCGCTTGAGAGCGAAGGCAGCCTCGCTGCCCTGCGTCGGACTAAGGTCCTCTTCGCCCACATGAATAGTGTGCGACGCCGTTATCTGCACCGATATGCGGTTTGCCGGGCCTGACGGCTGGAAGAAGTGCTTCGTCACATCAATGCCTTTTGCGCGACCTTTCCCACGTCCCATGTCGTGAAGATAGAACAAGGTGGACTTCTTCTATAAACCGGGTGCTGGGGCTGTTGTCTGCGGGCACAGCGGTTGGGTCGCGTACCACTAAACTACTACCACCGCAAATAAAACAAGACCGAGGGAGCAGGCAGGAGCTGAATCATCAGGGGTCAGAGTGGAACCAGAAGAAACAAGACAATCGCTACAAGTTCGCCAGAAGTGGACGACGAAAACGATGCGGGTGATGTAAAAGTCGTGATCGGCGGCACACAAGCTGCAGCTCCCAACACGTTCCCTAAAGTCCACGCAAGAACGGCGGACAACACACAAGCGCAACAGAATCATCGGGCAAACAAAAATAAATTTCAAAGCGCCTCTGTGTCCTGATGACCCCCCCCCCTCCACAACAACAACAACGACAATAACAGGAGTCGCAACGGCGCCACAAGACGCTCAAGCCTTCTCCCCGTTCTTTTCTTATTTCACCCAAATTTCACTTCTCCTCAGCGTGATGTTGCGGGAGTGCCCGCCATCGCAGCGGCGTTGCGGTGTGTGCGGGACGCCTCCACCTTGTGCCGCAGCCGCCTGCCGCTGCTCAAATTCTTCTTCATCAGTGCCGCGTCGCGCTCGATGACCTCCTTGCGGTTGACGTACTCCGTGTCGAGGTGGCGCCGGATGCCGATCTTTGCAATGTCGGGGTTGTTGACGCCGTAGAGCCGGTCGTAGCGCGTCTCGGGCACTTCATTCATCCACGTGGGTGAGCGGTCGTGCAGGCCGCGCACGTCGTCGTAGTAGATGTCGCCCGCCCGCACGTCGTCATAGCGCTCCCTCGTGTTGGTGACGTACAGCACGTCCTCCAGCGGCGGCCGCTCCCACGGCTGGCGCTCGTTGAAGAACGCCGGCAGCTCTACCGTCGCGACGCTCACCTGCGCGCCGTCGGGCTGGTTGAAGTCGCGTAGCGGCGCCACCTGCTTCGTCGTGTTCTTCATCAGGTGCAAGTCGTACAGCCATCCGTGGCGGCGCCTGAACTCGATGAAGTCAAACTGCTTCACCGCACGGCCCCACTCGTAGTAGCGCGCGCGATAGATGCGGAACTTGCGCAGGGCATCCTCCACCTCGTCCATCAGCGGGCGCGAGAGGTGCGAGCGCGGGATGCCGAGCTCGTCCATCTGCGCCAGCACAAGCGGCACCTTCTTCTTCTCCACAACGTTGATGTTGCCGAAGCACTGTAGTGGCTCACTGGTCGGTGTGTGGGCGTGGTCGATGATGCTGCGCAGGTACAGCTCCGCCGTCAGTGTGTTGGCGCGCGGCCAGCGGCGGTCCACGAGCTCCTGCCAGATGGCGTCGCAGCGGTCGTACTGCCGCGCCTCGCGGTGGCCCATCAGCAGAGCGTTGTAGCTTCCAACCGTCACGTGCTCATTGTGGTGTCGGCGCAGAAATGAAAAGACACTCTCCGCCTCCTGCGTGTTGCCCTGCAGCGAGAGCGCGAGCATGACGAGCTCGTAGGTGCTAATTGTGGGCGAGATGCCCATCGTTCCCATGCGGTCATACACCGCGTCAGGGACCGCCGTGACGTGCGTGTAGCCACATGTGAGCAGTGTGCGCATCAGCGCGTTGACGAGCTGCGCGGCGGCCGCTGTTCCCTGCGGCAGCTGCTGGCACGCCGTGATAAGCGCGGTGAACGCCATGTTGAACCAGCGGTGTGCCTCCTGCGCCCGCTCCTCACCGTTTTCGTCACCGAGGAACTTGTACGTCAGAGCGGGGTCGCACTGGGCGTCGCAGTGAAGAATGCGCTCCGCCAATCGCGGGGCCGCTAGCGAGTCAATCAGAAGGCAGTACTGGCCCGCAGTGAGGACGCGTTGCTGGTGCAGCTGATCCACAATGGGGCTCGCCTGCTGGTAGAGCCCATGCTGCGCCAGTCGTATCGCCAGTTCGAGTTGAGCGTGCGGTGTGACGAGCGCATGTTGTTGGTGTTGTTGGCATGTCCCCGCTTCAGCGAGCTGTAGCACGCTTGCGCGGGAGGTGTTGAAGGACCGCATGTGCGCCTCACGGTCACGCTTACGCTGCAGCAATATGAGGTGTCGCTGCCGTTTGGTGATGCCGCTGAAGTAGTAGACGCCCTCCCATTGGTTCAGTGGTTTCCGCTGCGGGAGGTTTGTGCGGATCATGTAGTACGACGGCACAGTCGTCTTTGCAACATTCTGCGAGAGCATCCTTCCGCCAGGCCCCAGGCTGCAGTTTGAGAGAAATGATTCGCCGACCGCTTCGCTACCACTGCGCAGGAAAGAAGAGGATGGGAGAGTCAAAACATGGAGGTGGGAAAGTGCAAATACGAAGAGGTGCCAAATAATTTAAAAACAGGAAGGGGGGGAGGGAAGAAACAAAGCGGGAGAGAGGGAAAGAGAAAGTCAGGGAGAACGACAGCAACACCATAAACGCAAGGACACACACTCGCACAATAGCAAAGCACACGCGGTGAATAGAACGAGTGTAGAGGCATATCTTCCCAACACAGAGCAAAACAACGAACTAGTCCGGAATTATTCCTTTTCGGTTCCTTTAAATAAATATATATATATATATATATTTATATATATGCGTCAAGAGGTCTACGTCTGTCAACAAGCCTACATATAATCACGCCAGAGCCACCCACCTGAAGGAGGAGGGTCAAACAGCAATAATTTTTAAAAGGGAGTGGGGATCTTTTGGCAATTGCATCATGTCACCTTCCTGCCTGAGTGGTGGCCCTTCGCGAACGGCCGCCAGACCCGTACAAAGACAAGTGACACCAACAGCGCCAGCATAAGGCACAGGATAAAGCAGTCCAGAAGCGGGTTTGGCGTTTCTCCTGCTACACTCACTGGGGTCATTTCTGCCACGCCGGATGGCGTGGCACGACGAATGTCGGTGTTACGATTATTATTCCCGTTGGGCCCCCCCGGCCCCTGATACTCTTGCGGCTGCTGCTGCCACAGCGCGCGGCGTGGGAGGCGCACCGGCTCACTGAGCATCGGCGGTGTGGTCGGCCGCTTACCTTTGCCAAAGGGGTACTGCGGCACAGGCACGCGCCGCGCCGGCACACTTTCGTCGTGCAGGAACTCCACGTACGCCACGTGACCACCGGCCAGCTGCAGGTAGCGGCTCAGGCCCACGTCGGCCGCAACAAGCTGGCCGTCGCAGACGATCGTAACGCTGCCATCAGGCTGGATCGTGTGGCCACCGACCATGACGCGCACCGACGCTCGTCCCGCCGCGACCTCACTCAGCGACAACACGTGCAGGGCCTCCTCCACGAGCGTACAGTTGCCCTCATGTGCCTCTCGCAGCACGTTGCGCGTCCACAGCGGACTGTCGTTGGAGTTGAATGGGTGACCGTCGCCGTTTCCCTCCCCTGCACCGCGGTGGAAGCCACGCTGGAACTCTGCGTTGATGGCGTGCACACCCATCGCCGCGTAGGCCGGCGTCACACCCGCGTGTACGAACGCCACGCCCTCGCGCACCGCCACGACGTGGTGCTGCAAGATGTAAGAACCGTACGCACCCCACGGGGAGAAGGCGGCCGCGTACGCCGCCTGCCCGCCAAAGACCGCCACCACGTCAGGGTGGGCGTAGCGGTGGTCACCTACAAGATTCAGCAGCTCGTGGTTGCCAACGACAAATGTGAACTCGCCGCCGGCGGCCGCGGCCTGCTGCTCCAGCGACGCGAAGAGGTCATAGATCTCGTGGTAGTGTCGGCCGCGGTCGGCGATGTCACCAAGCTGAACGACGGTGGAGGCGCCAGCAATCCAGCGGTCCGCCCCGTCCGTGATGTTCGCCGCCTGCAGCACCTGACGGCAGCTGAAGATGTCACCATGCATGTCGCCGAATGCCACGAGGCGTGGCACAACGTCGTTCTTCGCCACCGCCCCCGCATTGGGTGGCGCCACGAGACACACAGCGGGGCAGCACGCCACCACCACCACTACCACAACAACAACAACAACGTGTGGGGCATCGCACGCACGCCGCAACATGCTGGCAATAAAGGCAACGATGATGATGATGTCAAAGAAAGGGAGGAGGGAGTACGTCCTGTAGCTACGCGACACACCGGCGATGAGGTGAAGGAAAAAAGAGAAGGAGAAAACAAAGAAAGCAAGAAGGCAAAAAAAAAAAGCAAATGGGGCACATCCATAACGAATGCTGCGCAGGAAGAAGGAAGCGTGGCCGATGCGCACTCTACCTTCGTCTATTGAGCAAGCTGGGGTGGACCAAATTCCACAACTTACGGAAGCGCAATGTACCGTCCAAGACAAAATTGGCGAGAAAAGGAACGAAGCAAGATCAAAGCAAAATGTGTATTCAATTTTAGGTAAAATGAAAAAAAAAGATCCCATCAGCTTCATCAAGGGGTGGCCTCAACAATCGTTTGGTGACCACACAGGATCGTCAAATTCTACACGCACTCCCTGAGGAGGACTCTGTGGCGAGGCAGTCTGGTGGCCCGCCATGTTTACACTTGCTGTCGCTTGCCGCATGTCTCTTGTGTCGCTCGTGGTCCCCACAAGAGCAGCGGTTGGACTCTCCACTTTCTTTTGCACCGGCGATGACTCAACTTGGACTGTGTCTGATTGTGCCTCCTTGGACATGCTCTTCATCTTCCCACGGCCAAAGTGTGAGCCGCCCATGTTACCATAACTACTGCTTACGCCGCCGCACGACCAAGTCCCTGCAGGCAACCCACTTTCTCTTCGCCCCATCGGGGGCAGGGGCTCGGCGAACACGTCATCCGCCTCCACATCGTCGGCCTCGTCCGCAACATACGAGAGCCTCCTCTGACAGATGCAGTATATCGCAAGTATAATGGTGACGATGAGGACGGCTATTCCAATGACGAAGAAAACTCCGACATGCGCCGCGGTCGGGGCGCAGCAGAGCTCGCTGCAGAGCCATAGCCCAGCTCTCTCCCCTTCGTCATCGGCGCCGTATGTGGAGTTGCACAATCTGTACGAGCATAGGCATCGCCCATTGAAGAAAATGTGGGCGAGATCCGTCGGTGCCTTCTGCAACCCGCACGAGACGTGGCACGCCGACACCCCGCCCAAGGGCCGCATTCAACGCCAGCAGACGGCAGTTACACGCCGGCCTCTATGCAGTGTAGTAGCAACAACAACAACAACAGGGAAAAAAGGAGCTTGCCAAAGCCTTCAGCGCAGACACGTAGTTGCACATATGCAGCCAAAGAGAAAGAAACGATTGCACAGTCGCACAATTTGCCACTTTTCGTGGTACCCCCAGTGCGGGCACATCAACAGAGCCAGACTATTATACAAACAAAAAAACTAGACACACACACACACACACAGACTACACACATGCACCCGCCATCTTTTCCATGTGCAGCCACGTCATCTCTTACGTGTCGTCTCGAATACCGTCGGACTCAATGACGTACACGCCACATGTAGGCGGGTGTGCGGGGCCGTAGAGAACAGTGAGCTGTCGCCGCACCGTCCCCGACGCAGCGTGCAGGCGTCGCAGATGCACGCGGACGTGCGGCGCCAGTGACCATTGAATACCGAGTGCAGGCACCACTATGTCTGTAGCGTGCCGCTGCAGCCGGCCAACGGACAGCAGCGACCGCACCTGGTTGGTGACAAGCACGGCGGCCACCTCCTGTACGGCGAACGCCTTCAAGAGAGACCCCACAGCCACTAAATCAGACGCCATCTCCCACCTGTCATTCTCGCCACTACCATTTATGGGGCCGCTGGCACCAGCACCAGCAGCAGCAGCAGCCCCTGCGATGGAGTCTACCACAACTATCCCACGGCCGCCCAACGCGTGAAATGCACCAGTCAGTGTTCCGTCGGAGAGCAGCCGCAATAGGATTTTCAGAGATTTTATGCATCGGATGTGCAGTCCGGCCATTACAGACTTCACCGTCACTGCAGCATCCAAGGAGGCCTTCAGCTGGGCTAACGTCGATGACGGGAGGTGCGACACGGCGCGAAGTGCCTTTTGTTTCTCCCGTTTTACTGCACCTGCCGCTAGCGACGCAAGTCGGCTTGCCGGGAAATCTTCCGAGGCGATATACAACGCCGCCACACCTGTTGTGGATACACTAACGCAGCCCTCTCGTCCAGCACCAGTAGGATCTAGCAGCGCACACTGGTGATGTGCGACGCAATGCAGTAGGCACTGTAAGGCGAGTTGTGTCTTTCCACTTCCCGCCTCACCATAGATTTCTGTGAGGAGCCCGGCACGGATGCCACTCTCCGCTGAACTCGTGCCTGGACGGCAGCCGGCGCCGCCGAAGAGCTGGTCCAGAGAAGGACAGCCTGTGGTGAAGAAATGGGAGCCTTCACGTGCTGCCGTGGAAGGAGTAGACCCATCGGCGACAGCTGGAGCTGGAAGAAGCATATCCGCCACACTTCTTGGCATAAAGGAAGGATCTGTATCTATGTCTGTGTCCACCACTGAAGTGAATTTCTGTGAGAGGTGCTGCATGCTTAACGCCAAAAGCAGTTTTTCAATAAAAATTTGCACCTCTGCAGGATGGCAAAACGTCTGTTGTCTCTGATCTTGTGCTACCGCCAACAGCACCCTCCGCTGGACAAACGGGCGGTCGCTTGTTAGTAGTAGCAGCAATTCCGCCTCCGAGGCGATGCCCCACTCCACACAGCACCGCAACAAAGCACCAGCAAGGGCATGCTCCATTGCATCCTCCTGTAGACGCGGAACGAGGCGTTCGATACGAGTAGCCAGTGGTGTTCCTGCTTCAATGGATCCCATTTGCATTCCACACGCACTATGTATGTATGTGTATATTTATGTGCGTGCGTGTGTGTTTCTCTGTGTTTGGACCTAGTGTTTCTTGCCGCGCACTAGCGGCAGGAGCCCTTCCTACGCCTTGGTGCGTCTCGCAGAAGGCACATGCACCGCACCCCCTCCACCCGGCACCCCGCGCACATGTGCACAAGAGGGGGAGAAGAGAGAGTGGAATCTGCTGTCCAGTAGCATGCAACGGAGGTGTTGCGTTTGCATCAAAATGAAGAGACAGTGACAACGGAAAGAAAAAAAACGGCTTCGGCGTAGCGGTGCAGAGTGCCTGGGCGCACTAGTAGATAGGCGTGCAGTTAATTCCCCCACTCCCCACAATCGCACCGGGAGTACGTCGCGTTCCCAAAGATATCGCACACATCACCGCTCCTCCCCTCTCCAGTCACATACATGCCCCACCCTTATTACGTTCTCCCAATCTCGATCTCTCTCCGCACTTGCAAGGCTCCCCCGGGTCTCTCTCCCCATTATCACAGTTTCACTGAGAGTTCTTCTTCTGTCATTCTCTCCCTCTCTCGCCACCGCACATACTTTCAAGCAACCCACACACACACACCCTCAAGAATAGACGTCACAACGCACTGCCAACCACTTCCACCAAGACCGGGTAGGGGGGAATGCGTTTTATACTACGGGCCGACAGAAGGAAGCACCGCGAAAAGAAAAGCACGAAAAGAATCGAAGGAAAGCAAGGAAGACGAACTACACTGCGCATGGAAGGACACGTCCGCAGCGCAGACAGCAGCCACGGCGCCACAACAGCTCCTTCTATTTCATTGAGGGTGTCTCTTTGTTTTTTTGTTTTGTTGTTGTTTTTTGGTTGTATTTCTCCGAAGGGGGAAGGGATCGCGCGCCTACAGAAAAAAAAGGTAAGTGTGTATCTACCTTCATTTTTTTTTTTTTTGGTTTCCTCTCTGGCCTTTTGTGTTGTTGGTTTATTTTTCCATTTGTTTTTGTTTCGCTCAGAGGGTATCGAGGAGGGGCGCGTCAGTTTCACGACGCACCACAAACCCCTTTATGAATCAATGGCTGCCCGCACCGCAGCCGAGCTCGTGGTCTGCCACTGGCCCGATTGTGCATTCATCCCAATGATGCGCTGAACAAGCACACACACACACACATATATATATATATATATATATGTATAAACAAATACACCGACAGTGAGACGCAGGTAGGCAGAACAGCAGCCTTCGGCATACGTTTTAGGAATGTGAAAGGACTCTTCAGCGATCCTGTACGGATGCAGCCCTAATTTACACTTGAGTTGGCAAACCCAATGCCTGTGATGACAACGCGTGCGCAGCACAGTTGTTGTTGTTCTTTACAGCCAAAACGCTACTGTTAGAGAGATCTGTGTGTTGCTACTGTGGCTCCGCTGGGTTGAGTGTATCTGGGATGACATTCTCTGCGAACGTCGGCTTGACTCCCATGTCACTGCCCCTCGGCGACCGCGGGCTGCCGTATTGTGTGGAGCGGCGCTGCAGCGGGCTGCCAAAGGGGCGCTGTTTGCGCAACTGATTCACCTGTTCACGCAACTCATGAAGCGCGGAGGTAAGCTCCTCCATTTCTGCGATACGGCTGCGAAGTTCCGCCTCGTACGCCGCCTCACGTATGCGCTTGTCGGCGAGCACGCACTCCTTCTCTGCCCGCAGACCCTCGTTCACAGCGAGGGCTTCTTCAAGCGCCGCGGCGAGTCCCACAGTCATGGAAGCCTCACTCTTGCTGGAAGTTTTATCGTCACCTGGAGCGCCACCTGCTGCTCCAGCTAATGTTGTTGTTGCTGCAGCAGCAGGCTCAGGCAATGCCGCTTGAGACGCACGCGTCGTCAGCTCGCTTATTGTCAGGCGGCAGCGGCTCAATTCTTCGATCAGCTCTTCCCTCGAACGACTCTGGTCCGCACGCCGCTGGCTCCGTAGCGCGCTCGCCGCACTCTCATAGGTCCGCAGCCTTCGTGCCAGTCGGCCGACATCTTTGAGCAGCTGCAACTCTAGCCGGCCCTGCTTGCGCGCCCGCTCACGCTCGGAGGTGAGTTCTCGCTCCATGCGCTCCAGTTCCGCCACGTTGCGTCGCAGTCGCCACTGAAGCTCCTGCGTAAAGTTGCGCACTTGTGTTTGCACCTTTTGGTTCGCCATCTCCGTTCCACCAACGCAGCAGGCCCGCGCCTTCGCAAGCTCCTTCTCCAGGAACTCGCGCTGCTTCTGACTCTCGTAGAAGAGCCGCCGCCACTCGGTGAACTCGGCAGCGCCTTTGTTGCACGGAGTGTCGGGCTCTCGCACCGACACCGCTTCAGCCTCCGCTCCCTGCACAGACCACACCTGGCGCGGGTCCTGCACACGCAGACTCAGCTCGCGGAACGAGTACTCCGCGAAGTCCGACGCGATGGGCGACGTAATGACGTTCACCACTCCCAACGGCTCGTCGCCTGTGCTCGTGGGCCCCTTTGGGCTCTTCTGGGAAACGGTGCGGCGCAGAAGCTTCCTCCACAAGTTTGCGTCACCGCGCTCCACCTCTTGCCTGGAGCGTTCCGTGCAGGAATCATAAGACACCGCCGGCACGCTCTGCGCGGAGCTGCGCGTGGCGTCCGCTGCGGTTGTGCGAGGCGTGCTTGCTAGTGAGTCGGTGAGCACCTTCTCGCGCCGCGCCTTGACTTCGAGGTCCCGCTGCAGGTTGGCGGCCTTGGTGCTGATTTGCGCCAGCTCGTTCTTTGCTTCCGTCAGCTTCCGTAGTGCGTCTGCCTTTTCGCGGAGCAGCGCATCAATGTAGTCATCAGCAGCCTGGAGCTGCAGGCGCAGCATCTCCAGGTCCTCCTCCTTATCGTTCAGCTCAGATTCCAAATATCGCATTTCAGCCTGGGTGTCACTGAGCGCCACATCCTGGTCGAGTAGCTCGTAGAGCGCCTCATTGTAGCGCTGCGTCGCGGTGATGGCACACTCCTTAAGAGCTTCGTGATCAAGCCGCGCAAATTTGCACTCTATTGGCTCGTCACAGTCAACAAGGGGCGGGCAAATATCGACTTCAATGAATGACGGGAGAGTGTCGATGTACTCGGAGAGAAGAGCCTTTTCGTCGGCATCCATGTCCCCACGCTCGCTATCACTGGCATCCTTTCGGGCGCTCCCCTTGCTAGAAGTCGTCGATACTGAGGGGCTCGACGCCATGCCGCAAGAGGGCGGCAATTCACTGAGCACGAGACGACGCTACTCCTCTTGCTTGGGGTAAACGTGTATACAAATATATATATATATATATATATATATATGGGTGGGTGGGTGTGTCGAGGAAGGTCAACACAAATGTGCACCGCGTCCCCCACCACACCGGCCAAGAAAGACAGACACAGAGAGAGAGAGAGAGTGAGTAAAAAAGGGGGAAAGGAACCATGAAGAGAAATCACACGTAGTAGAAGCAGCAGCCGCAGCACAGCATCAGCGGCTACGACGACGACGACGGCACCGGCGCCGGCACTCGTGACTGAGAGCCGCGCGGGCGCCAGGGTATTGCCGCCGCCATGCATCCTGGCACGCGGTGGTGCAGGGCCCCGCCCAGGTCGTGCAAGGACGGCATGAAAACGAAGAAAACAAGCAAACAATAAAACGAAAATTTTTTAAAGCAAAAACAGAAGAACTAAAGGGAAGATGAGTGACAACATAACCAAGCAAGGGGGACAGAAGAGACAGGTCACAAAGGAACAGAGGGAGGAAACTGGCATCGTTGTTATTATCCGTTCTTGATTTTCACATTTGGTTGGTTCAGAAACAATAATAATAATAATAATAATAATAATAACAGCATACATGCCGACGCCACATCCTTCCCTTGAACCCTCTCTCCCGTCTACAGACGCATCCTCGCCAACGCTTGCTGACAACCACAACGCACTACTATAACCAGAGCATGCAAGAGGGGGGGGGAACTCGATTGTCATGCAGCACTGGCATCTCTAGCTTTGTTTACACTTTTCTTTCGCATTGCACTCACTCAGCCTAACACTCTCACTAGCAAATATGGATATATATATATATATATATTTTTTTTGTTGCCGTCGTTCTTTTATACGCATCTCATTCTTTTTTTTTTCCTCTGCTGTTGTTTGTTTCATTTCCAGGTGTGCGGCTTCACCGATGAAATCGGAATACAATGGAGTCGCACACCGATCTTTCTTTTTTTTTTCTTTGCTTTTTTCTCTCGGGCACCGCGTTCCTCAGGCCGTCGTTGGCAGTCCTTGAGTGGATTGATAAGACGCCTGCTCGCCCTCGTCCATCGCCTCCAGGACGTCGCTGCGTTCTTCGTTCCTACCTAAGCGCCACGCGCGTGGCCAGCGTCTGCTCGTTCCCCTCCACAATGCCTTCCGCTGTCTGTTTCACCATGGTCGTGTCGATTAACTCTATAAAGTGATCGACGGCAGCCAACTCATCTGTTCCACCCTCCCCCCACGCCTCTGCCCGCTGTGCATCCGCCTCCTCCTCGCACCTCGAGGGGCCACTGCAGCCGTCCCTGAACAGCTCTTCCACGCACCACTCATTGTCGTTCTCTATCGTATCCCAATGCACGCACTGCGTACAACTCCCGCCATCGCAGACGACAAGCCAGTCGCCGTCGCTCTCTGCGATTTGCAACGGGCGCTCGGTCTCGCAGTACCGTGAGAGCTCCTGCAGCTCGCGCCGCCGCTGCACCTCCGGGCCGGTGCAACGCAGCATGTACGGCAGAAATCCGCCGCCGAGTGAGCCAGCGAGGGAACCCAGCGCCGTCCCCACGCCAGGGAGCAGCAGACCACCTACCACCGCGCCACAGCCGCCGCCCACAATAGACGCGCCGCCCACTGTGAGCGCCGTGGTAGCGTCGTACCAGAACTGCTGCCTCGCGAGTTCCGAGAGCTCCGGTCGCGTCACGCCACGCTGCAGGAGAACGCATGTGTGAATTCCTATCTGAACCGTTGTCGCGGCGAGGGCGGAGGCCGCATTCGCGTGGAGGCCAACGGCTATCACCTGTCTCGACAACGACTGCTTCGCCAGTAATGAGGTTACGCTGACCGCACCGCCCAGTGAGGCCGGCATGCACCTGGCGATGAACGCCACTAGCACCTCGATTGCCCGCGCGAGGTGTTTGGGGGAGTACAGCGCGAGCCGCGAGGCGACGTGCAACAGCCCTTNCCACTAGCACCTCGATTGCCCGCGCGAGGTGTTTGGGGGAGTACAGCGCGAGCCGCGAGGCGACGTGCAACAGCCCTTCCACCTGTGCACGGCCGCTCAACGCCGCGTTGGCGGCAATCACCTCCCCGAACACCTTTGGCGAAAGCGCCACGGTGAGCTGCATGGAGGCGAGTGACTGCATAATAATTCGGAATAGGCAGAGAATGGCGCGATGGAGGCGCAGCATGGTTTGTGTGGAGTTCACTATGAGGAGGCCCGTGCTCCGCTTGCTGCTGGCCAGGAGCCTCATTGAGGTTTGGGGCACTACCATTGGTTCGCGGCAACAAGCTAACGGGAGACGGGGACCAAAGCGATAATGATAATTAAAACCGCAAACGGAGTAAAAAGTTGGACGCAGAGTTCACATCATCATTCACAAGAAAAAAAAGGAAAAGGAAACGAAAAGAGAGAAGCACGAATGGACAGAAAGATCGTCACATCCTATGGATAGCATCTACGCGATTTTNAGGAAAAGGAAACGAAAAGAGAGAAGCACGAATGGACAGAAAGATCGTCACATCCTATGGATAGCATCTACGCGATTTTAGTACCTTCGTCGGGCGAAGGCACCGTGCCGTGTATTCTGTGAGGCGCGCCCAAGCCTGCGGTGAATACAGGATTTGAATTCCCACAGGTGAGCCACGCAGCAGCAGCAGCAGCAGCTCTATGGCCCCCCTCTATTGTGCTCGTGTGGCGTTCAGCAGGTGATTGATGTCGCTTGCCACACGAACGTGCCGCTTGTTAGCCTGGCGGAAATTCGTCGCCTTCGCTCCACCGCGCTTGCCTTCGTAGAACTCGCCGTGCATGATGCGTGTCATGACCGGCTCCCCCCGCAGCAGCTGCTGTCGGTGAGGATTCTGCAGCACCCACCGCCCGCCCGTCCGCTCTACGAGCCTGTCCATTGTGTGCGCTGTCGGCACTGTCTTGTGGAGGNCCGCCCGCCCGTCCGCTCTACGAGCCTGTCCATTGTGTGCGCTGTCGGCACTGTCTTGTGGAGGTCCGCCTGCCCCGCCGTGAGGTGTGAATAGTGCGCGGCCACCCGGCGGCGCGGAATGGACAACTCGTAGCGGATGATCGCCTCATCCCTCTCCCTCGCGGCCCGTCTTTCCTTCGCACTCGCGTGGGCGCCGGGGTGACCTTGCAACTTCCTCTTCGCGTCGGCGGGGGTGGGCCACGCGTGGTGGGCAATCTTTCTATTCATGGAGTAGCACGACTGCAAGGGGTCGCCGTATTCGTCAGCGCGCCTGCAAGGAGCCGCGGCGGTGTTACTGCCAAGCAGTGCCGGCTCGTGGCCCACTTCGTGTGCGAGCTGCCACTGGTTGCCCAGTTGCACCTCAGGCGGCAGNCTGCCAAGCAGTGCCGGCTCGTGGCCCACTTCGTGTGCGAGCTGCCACTGGTTGCCCAGTTGCACCTCAGGCGGCAGCGTCCCGTCGGAGAGGCGCGTGCTTGGTCCCACCCACGGTGAGGGGGATGGCACCTGCCGCTTCGCGAATAATCGCTGCACAGCGGCGGCGTTGCGCTCCTTGGCCTTCGCGTTGCTCATGTCGGTCTCGTCAGCCTGTCCACTGCAGCGCAGGACAGCAACTGAGCGTCACACCAATTCACAGCAACAGTAGCAGCAGCAACGGCACAGGGTGAGTCTCTACGTGGCTCACCACCAGTCACCACTGATCAAACTACGAAGGCGGAAACAACAAAAGAACGGAGGAGGAAAAAAGATAAATACAAAAACAATAATAAATCTAAAAAACGGAGTTGAGAGAAATGAATACACCAGCAGCGGGGAAAATCATTGAAGAAGACTAGACAAAGTAGCACATATTTTTTTTTTCCCTCACGGAACCACAACCACGAAGCACAATCCACCTACGACTACTGATTTCTTCCTCCTCCTCCTGTTTATCCTTCTGTGCATCTCTCCAGAGCCCTCTGCCTACACTCTGATGATCGCTGCTCCCTTCTGGTTCCCAGAACTTGTACTCCGGCTCCACGCCTACCAAGCGAAGAAGCCTTCCCCTTGCGCAGCGCGTATCCCCCTAACCCCTCAGCAGCAACATATCCCATCACCAAAATACAAACACATAAGTACATCCCACAAACTCAAAGCACACACACACACACACATATATATATATATATATATATATCAAACCACAACATAAAATGAAATGCAGAGGAGTGGAAGATACAGTAAATTGCCTATGAATAAGTGCATCCTTATATATGCATATATAAGGATGCACTGCACAGCCAGGCGGAGCGGGAACCTCTTCTTCCTCTCTCCCCACCTTTTTCCCTCAACCCTACTCGGGCGATTCTCTCTCTTCTCTGTTAAAAAGAATTCCCAATGCACCACCCCACATGCAAGAGTACGAAAAAAACAGTGAAGCACAACAAAAGAGCCCGCAGGCGAGGGAATTTTACAGAAAAGGATCTAGAATCTTCTTTGAACCCTACTTACACCACCAACACTACCACTAGGTGAACTTCAGGCAGGCACGACTCCTTATTTCCCTTCACTCAATCTATCCACTTCCTGGCAACAACTACAGCACAGCGGCAGAGACTTATCGGAGCATGAATGAAACAGAAGCACGTAAGTGAAAAAAACGGTGCAATGTTATCATACCTTATGGAGCTGGAAACATGTCGCTGTCTCTCTCTGTGTGTGTGTGTATGTGTGTGTGTATCACGGCATTCAGCACATCTTGTTTTTTGTGTGCTTTTTGCGCCTAAAATAGACCCCCATACGAAAAAAAAGGTTCACGCATCCCCCCGCACCCCTCCTTATAGTTGCTGTCCCATACTATACCTCCTAGAGCACTCCCACCATCCCCCTCCTCTATTCACTACATAGCAACACAACATGCAAGTCTCTTCGGTTTTGTCTGGCCTACGCCAAAAAAAAAACACAAATTGAAAACAAAACCACCGCGAAGGTACTTTCCATCACTCACTCCCGTCCTCCCATTGATTTGCTCAGGCTACAGAATTCACTGGATCTCTGTCCATCGCTGAGGATCTCATCTGTGCATTCAGCACCTGTGGCATCTCCCACAAATCATTTTTCCTGAGACAAGGATTAGCATTGTACGTCTGCGGGGCCTTCTGCCAATTGAAGTACGGATTCGGCAGCCGCAGTCCACCACGGTACAATGGTAGATTCTCGTGGGTTGCGTTCTCCCAAATAGTATCCTGCATCGTGCCACTGGTGATACGGAAGTACCGAAACTGCGCGACACTGGCGTTGCGATTCGTGTCGGGGTCGACGCGGTGTGCCAGCACTGGCATCAGCGAACCCCAGTTGGCCTGCCGGTTGATCTCTTTGTTCGCGTGAAAACTGTAGAAGAGACGGCTACCCGAGAGGACATACTGCCGTGCGTACTCGTACTGCAGGCCCGCAAGAAGTGTCATGATGAACCAGAAGTTCGTCTTCTTCCAGCGGCCCATGAAAAAAGCGTAGCCTAGAGGGGGAAAGATGCTCGCGGCGGCGCGGGCCATATAGCAGCCCTGGCCCTCGTCCCACGCCCGCTTCCAGCCGTTGAGGCTCGGGTCGCGGATGCGGAATGGCCACGGGCCGTGCGTGTAGAGCCATTCGTACGTGTAGAAGTAGCCGCCGATGCCGATGAGGCCGGCGATGTTGGCCCGTATCACGCCCATGGCTAGCGCTATATTCCACGCAAACTTTGTTCGCGGGTTTCCTACTGAGCCAAAAGAGTTCGACGCACGTGCCAGGAACCAGTTGACGTACCAAACGTTCAGACCCCCCATCCACCACTTGACACACTCGAAGGTGTGCATCGAGTCGGTGTAGGGAACCTCCTCCTTTACCCCAATGAATGCATTCATAGAAATAAAGCCAAACGGTAGTTTCTGCACACCAAACTTCCGCACTTGGTGCGTCTCATCGAGGGGGTTGTACGGTGCGGAGACGTCGACAACGGGGCGCTTCTTTTCGCTATGCGCCGGGTCAATATAGGAGTGCCAGAACGTCATCCTATGCGGCTCCTCTTGCGCACCTTCGCTTGGAAGGTTATGGCCCTCCGCGTTCAGAACGGCACTTTGAAACGTCCGACTAAACATGGCAGTAATCACTTTTTTTCTTCCTACCTCACGTTACAAGCCAACCTGTCCTTTTCTTCCCCCTTCAGCTGCTATGGTTGCGACCCCCCTCTCCCTTAGATATTGTCAAAACCAGGCCGCAAATAAACGAACAAAAATAAAGAAAAAATCAAGGCCCAATTATTCGTTCCCTTCTTCAACCACACTTTCCTATCTTCCTTAGCGGTGGCGATGGTTACGGTAGCTGTCGGTGTACCAATCGTCCCGCGGCCCACACACCCTTTTTTTTTGGTGCTAATATCTTTCTAAATCTTCCCCCACGAGCTTCGTCTCGTCCGCCACTCGTGGCTTCTAAAGGCTAGGCGGGAGGAATACGTGTGTATAGGCGTGCAGGAGAGAAAGGGAAGAGTGAGAACGTGGGCACAAACGGGCCGCATTTAGCGCAGTTCCGCCTTGCTGTATTGCAAGAAGACCACCGGGAGCGAACACTGTGGAGAAGCGATTCAGAAGGAAACTGGCACCCGTGCGAGGGGAAAAACACTGAAGAAAGCAGTGTCAACATATCCCCCTCGCAGTGTCGGTTTCTCACACGCCAACTCACACTTAAACAGGAACACAAACAGATCAGCAATTTTCTTCTTTTTTTCAAGTGCACGCAAGCTGATTTAACACATACGAACCTGGGCCACGGCAGCAAGTTCGACCACAACAAAAATAAAAGAGAATACAGCTCGGGACCAGCAAGATGCAAAAAGAAGGCCACAGGGTACAGCAGAATTAAGGTTATAGAGGGTACAGGGGTAAGGTAAAGAGGGAAGGTGCAGGTACAGGATTTTTTT